GCTCTCCCCTCCCACAGCTCGACCTGCAGGAACAGGGTGTGTGTGTGAGACACATGTTGGAGATGGAGGAGCCACAATACAGAAGGAGTCTGGGCCCCGGACTCGCCACATAGAGAGAACGACACGTGGTCCAGGAATACGTTTCTGTGGGGTGAAAGCAGATGCAATTCTGGATGTTGTTCAGGAATTAGCCTTTCCCAGCTGGTGCACAGCGTCCCATCCTGGAATATCCAGGGAGAATCTCTAGTTATTAAAGAAAGAATTATTGACGCTTGTTAAATGGCAAGGAAGATTTTATTCAGGACAATTACGACGGGAGAGAGATCAAGGTCAACCTGAATACAAGGACGGGCGGGAATGGCAGGCAAGGAGCAGGGGGACGAGGTCGGTGGGTGAAACGCTGCTGAGAGGAGACGCCAGGAGGGGCGTGCCTGCCGAAGGCCTAACAGGGTTGGGGGGAAGGCAGGCCACGGACTTCCACACCGAAGGTGAGGGCGAGGGACTTGATCAGACATCAGGGTGGGGGGTAACTGAGCGAGATTCTCTGCTGAGACCGGGCAGGGCAGGCCACAGGGGAGCCGGGGCTAGGAGGCCTGGTGGGAGGAGGGTTCCGAGGAGCCTTCAGTCACGGAGAGTCCACGGGGGGAGGGGGGACCTGCCACACAGGCCGGAACGAGAGAGCGGGCGGGGCCGGAGGAACCCGCCACGGGCAGGGGTCATCCGTGTTTCAGGGAACTAATGCATTTAATGTCGACCTCAGTGGCACCTCTAACAGGGATGAAAGCAACTCCCAGATACCTTGGAGCGGTTTTGGTTGTTGTTGCTGTTAATCCTCACCTGAGGGTATTTTCGGACCTGCCACACAGGCCGGAACGAGAGAGCGGGCGGGGCCGGAGGAACCCGCCACGGGCAGGGGTCATCCGTGTTTCAGGGAACTAATGCATTTAATGTCGACCTCAGTGGCACCTCTAACAGGGATGAAAGCAACTCCCAGATACCTTGGAGCGGTTTTGGTTGTTGTTGCTGTTAATCCTCACCTGAGGGTATTTTCCCATCGATACTCAGAG